TTCCTTCCTTCCTTCCTTCCTTCCTTCCTTCCTTCCTTCCTTCCTTCTTTCTTTCCTTCCTTCCTTCCTTTCTCTCTTCCTTCCTCCCTTCCTTCCTCTTTTCTTCTCTTTCCTTCGTTCCTTCCTTCCTTTTTTCCTTCCTTCCTTCCTTTCTCTCTCCCTTTCTCTCTTCCTTCTTCCCTCTCTTCTACTCACTCCTTCCTTCCTTCCTTCCTTCCTTCCTTCCTTCCTTCCTTCCTGTTTCTTTCTTTCTGCTATCAGTTATAATCCCTGATGGGATAATGCAGCTCACACCATTACAGTGACTCAGTGAATACCAAAATATTGAAAATCACAAGCTGATACAGGGCATAACAGTTTTGCTGATTTAGAAACCAGGTTTCTGGGGGCGCCTGGGTGGCTCAGTGGGTTAAAGCCTCTGCCTTCGGCTCAGGTCATGGTCTCAGGGTCCTGGGATCGAGCCCCACATCGGGCTCTCTGCTCAATGGGGAGCCTGCTTCCCCCTTTCTCACTCTGCCTGCCTCTCTGCCTACTTGTGATCTCTGTCTGTCAAATAAATAAATAAAATCTTAAAAAAAAAAAAAGAAACCAGATTTCTGGTCTCTGATTTTACTTCATAATGGTTGTCATTTAATGTTTTACTAGTGGACTTTTCCTTAGTGGAAAGCATATAATGGAGATAGGGGTTTATCTCATCCAGCAGAAAATGTGGGTTTATATGAACTCTTAGGAGGAAAAAAGAGTATGTTTTTAATAACAGATATTTAAAATTTTTTCATGTTGTTGAGGATTCTCTTTTATATTTTATAATAATGATGTTGCAAGAGTCATTGAATAGAGGCACCTGGGTGGCTCAGTCAGTTAAGCATCTGCCTTCAACTCAGGACACAATCTCAGGGTCTGAGAGGGAGCCCTATGTCCAGCTTCCTGCTCAACAGGGAGTCTCGTTCTCCCTCCGCCTCTACCACTCCTCTTTGCTCATGCTCTCTCTCAAGGTCTCTAATAAATAAATATTAAAATAATAATAAATAAGTAATATTTAATAAATATTAAATATTGAATATCAGTTAATTTGGAGGAAGTTTGGGGATATATGTGGGTCTTTTTAGAAGTCTCCTAAGTGAAGAACCACAAGTCAACATATTAAATTCTTTCCAGCAGGAATTATTAAAATCAAGCAAGGAGAAAATTGTTACATTCAATTTTTATTCATATATTTAAATTAGGGGGGGGAATCACAGAGATTCTATTCTAAATCAACAACCTGGATGAGAAAATCAGAATCTTGCATGATGAGTAAACAACATTTGAAATCATGCAAGAATGAGTTCCTACTG